TGATTCGTACAGCCCAGAGCCACTGTATAGGCTAGGTCGCATTCAAAAACCACTGCAGTCTTGAATAGAAGCAGAATGCGCGGCGCATATCGAAAAGGGTTGATTAACAATGCTTTATACTTTTTAGGGTTTTAAATAGTTACCTTTTGAGTTTTCGATTTTTATTTACATTCGAATCCACTTTCTAAATTTCAGCCTCTCAAAAGAACCATCGCCGGGGTAGCCACACAAGCAGGATGTGCGGCCGCTGGAACAGCAGCAGGAGGACTTACTCTGGGACCACTTGGAGCGTTGATTGGAGGCATCATGGGAGCAGTCTATGGTTATAATTGCAGTGGCGACTATGACGTAAGCGTTTTCATCTTAATTAGCTCTATATGTGTCATCTTTTTGACTCTTTATTGAGGCTTGGAGATACTAGGTCTGGTTAGTAATTTTTTTTTCGTTTTCACTTTCGGGTCCAAAAATCACTAAGGTCGGAGATACTTTGCGGTTCGGCTTGCAGTTCGAGTGTGTAACAGATACGTATCGATTGTGTGATCGCATGAATTTGCGATGCCAGGCTTCTCGTGAGCCTGGAAAGTCCTCCATCCCGGTTGTCATATTACGTGAAGTTGAAGTCATGCCTGTCCACTTGATTCACATCCCTTCCATCTTATTATTCCTTGCTATTTATTCTAGTTTTCCTGAGTGTATAATTTGGACCAATCCTCATTTTCCATAGTCGAAAACAATTCGCTCAAGAATTGGTATTTTGTTCCTATATTTGAAAATTTAGAGCCTTCTTTTCGCTCTTCGCGCAATGTCTGAAAGAGAAAAACGTCAAGTTACTGAACAGGTCGGTTACTGATAGCCTGCACTTGTTCTGGAAAGGAGAATAATTGTTCAATTTTGACTTTAGGTTCAACGCCTAGTTGGGTCAGCTTCTGTGGAGGAGCTATTGCGATACATAACAACAGAAGCTCATAGGGAAATTCTTCTCGGTGTAATAGCAGATTTCATACGCCAGAAGTCGAGCTCTTAATGTAATAGCGCAACGTATCATCAGAAGCCGGTGTCAATTGCACTTCTTGCGATATTTTCATCATTTTTCACATACTGTGAAGAACTCCACAATAATCATCTTTGTACTTCTTAACCTTTTGGCCTTTTGATCACTGTTACCATTTCGTTGTTTGGTGCCTCAAATACTTGAGCTAGCCTCTCTCATGCTCCGCGCGAATCCCTGGAAAACACTGGTATTCCAAACTTCACCTGTTCTTTGTTTAGATGCATTATCATTCCTCATACATATGTTAAACACGTTCATTTGCGATTGTAATTATTAGCGCCGCGAGGGCCTCTTTGATACTCAGCATATTCCTGAGTACTATTTGCGTTAGTGTGGAATAATTAAATAGAACATTTCACACTGGACATAACTTTATTACATGTTACACATCTTTAGTGATATTTTAGTGGAGTTCATAATAACTTTGATAAATAATGTAAATACAGGAATATAGCAGTTTTCTTCTGAGAATTCAACAAAATCGAATCATGACAACCTTAGTAACGTATCACAGAAAAGTCACATTAATAATTTAGCAGTATTATATTACTTTTGCATTTCACAAAAATATGTCCTACTCTTCAAAGAAGCTCGTATAGGAATGGGCTATCAATGACAGCTGCTCCCACAGCGACGCCTCCCTAAAGTTCCACAGTTGATATGCATGTACAAAGTCACAACGAAAACGCCCTCAGAAGGTGGAAGATTGGATGTCTCCTGTGGGGAGTGCTTGAAATGCGAACATTTGGCACGGTTAGTTTATCGGAATTCGTGAAACGTTAGCGAACCTACTGTACAATAGTTGCCTCATGACAGAGGCACTTTCGTAACCTTTGCGCTTGAAGCGACTTAAAGCGTTGCCTTCAAAGAAAAAAAAAGAATGGAAGAGGCCTAGTACTCTGACCTAGGCCGTTTCCCATCCTTCCCCGTGGAGATCATCCTTGCTGTCTTCCCCAGCCCAGGGACAGGGTTTCGCTATGACCCAGATGCGCGGATGCTCTGACGCAACCCTTTCTCCCCTGAACTTGGGATTAACGTCGAGCGAGGGGGGGGGGGGTCCCTGGAGCGACGGAGATAGCACAAGGGCTTTGTATCAATTCTTCGAACGAGGGTGAAAATCATGGAATGAGCCGAAAAAGAACATGTCGGAATCACTCACTTCATCAACTTTTTCGCCCTTTGTGCGCAGCAAATGACCACCTTGTCGAACCTCCGCTATACCTCGGTCTCCGAGTGCATAACCATACACTCCAAGTTCACTTACAACATTTGATAGTTGCACTGGTTGCATTGCTCGAACAAGATAATTCTGCAAGAAAAACGGTGATCAATCTTGCAGAATGGATGATCTCAATCGTGGCCTCACCTCAAGAACAAGTGGTTGTATCCGCTCCATAAGTATATGAGCTCCTCGTTCTTCTTCAGTCATGGATTTAAGTTTTTCTACCATTTTCTCGCCATAGAAATTCCCACCTCCTCCTTCAGTCTGGGGCTTCAACACAAACTGAGCAGGACGAGCTATTGCACTCTGAATTTAGAAAGCATGTATGGCAGATTAAAAATATACGGTAAAGGGATAACTTCACCTTCACCAACTTCTCCGTGATTGGACTGGAATTGTTTATGGCCCACAGCCCAGCAAATGTTGCTCGTATCGCTGCTGCCTCACGCGGGTGTCCAATAAATCTCTCAACAACGCCATCTTCCGCAAGCACCTCAAAAATTAGCAAATTTATATTAAGAAAAGCAGATAGCTTGATTGATGAGTCCAACCTGCTGTGTTTTCTTCGTGTTCGCCACCTGAAGACCAATCCATGGTGCTTTTATCGCATCTGACCTTTCCATCAGAAGGCGAGCAGACCATTCTGAAATCGCCCTTTCGCTGTGCATCTATAAACACTCCACAAGTGGGGGGAGTTTTCGCATGTACCTTTCTCAGTTGGATAGCTGTCAGGTGAATATCCTGCTCGGAAGTAAACCACCGCTACTCGTGAACCGCACAGAAGTAAATGACGTTCAGGAGACAAAGTTAGGCTGAAAATGGTAGCATGGACAGGTTTATGCTCATATTGGAAAAACGTATTAATGTCCTAGTCAGAGAGAAGAACTCTAACCCAGTTCAAATAGAAATGTATTCCCTCAGAAGCATTCTCAGTGATCTATAATTCAAGGCCTACTTGATCTATTAGCAAAAGGCCGAATGGGACACCATGTTTCTTTTTCTGGAAATGAATCTGACACAAGTCTCTGACATCGGCAGAAGCTGGAACAACCCGTTTCAAGAAATCAAAGGAAACAACAAAAAAGATTTATGAAAAGAGTTAGACATACCATTCATCGCATTCGGTCAAAGTCCTACGGACGATTTGATCTACAGGCACGCCCATATCCTCTAGCATGTACTCGACATGCCTCTGGTCAATTTGATTTTGGTTCACATCTTCTACGACTACGAGTATGATAGCTTCAGGTGATGAGAACAGTTCCCTGCAAATGCCACTTCAAATATGAACGACAAAAACGACATCGAATTTCAGTAGATCGGCCCTTAGAATGAAAAACGTTTCGAACTCATCAAGATGGAGACGGACAATGCCAAGTGTGTACTTTGAAACTCTAAACTTCACCATACCATGCTTTGAATAAAGCTTCGGCAATCGTCTTGATCGGCTCATTCTTAGGGATGGCTTTTTCTATTGTTTCTCTGTCATAGCCGAGTTCGGCCATGGTCCTTCTGTGCAACTTTGTTACCTGAAAAGTACGCGTGCAAAGCTAGTGAGATGAACTACCACGACAAGAAATCACTAACCCTTTCTGCATGAGCTCCCATACTGGATGCGATGTTATTCACTTCGATCTGCAATCAAGGATCTTGTGTAAAGATGTAAAGTCTCCTGACGACGTATCCCCTCATCAACACCAAGGAGACTGCAACAGCTCCAAATACGGAATTCCATAGCAGCCAAGATTAAGCTGACCGCTCCACTACTGCCCATTCAATTTTCTCGTTTAGCTTCACTTCTTCCCCCAAACTTATAATAATCTTCATAGACAAAACAAGAGTAAAGATGTGTATTCCTCGAAGAACTCACTTGTCTCAAAAGATATTCACATGAGAAGGGGTCTTTGTGGCACATGTAATCTGATCGCTGTATGACTAGCGTTTTTCTTTGTGCAAGACCTTAAACCATAATTTCCATTGGGAACAACGATGTTTATAAGAATGTTGGGTTATGGACACAACTTTCGCCCAGGGTCAACCGTCTCTTTGCACTATTCGAACGAGGGAGTCGCATTTGTGATTTCGGGAAGAGGGTCGCATTTTGGGGTTGAGCAAGGTTATCATAGTGGGAACGGAGGTCGTTGAAAGGGGTTGCTATTTAGACGGGTTTTTTAAAGGATGGATTTGGTGAAACTTTTAGGAAAGGTGCGTGAAGTAGACAAAAGTGGAGGATTCGTCCCTTTGTGGCACCAGTTTACTCTTTCCCCCTCCCCGCTCGATGGCTGTTTTAGAGGAAAAAGTGGGCTGAAGTTGGGCCGGATCGATGTGGAATGGTCTCTCAAATACTGAGGAAACGGCCGTGATGGCGAGGGTGATGGTCTTAAAGCAACAGTCCAGGCAGGGTTTCAACTACTTGGTCATTAGGCGGTCAAAACATGCCCCAGCCCAACTAAAGTTTATAGGAAATGTCTTTAAGTTCAAAACCTACCTCTAAAATGCGCTGGAA